CTAGTTAAGTGTCAACTCTGTTTTGACAGCAAACCAAAAATAATTGTTTTTGGAAACACTCCAACAGTTTGCTCTAATTTGTAAAGTTTGTTTTTGAGAACAAAAACCACTGAAGTTCTTTTCCATCAGAAAAACAAAACAAAACAGATGCTCTAACTGAAACCCAAAATGAACTTTCTACCCAGCCAGGTGTCAAGTGCATCTCTCGAGATCTATTTCACCCACCTAAGATCTTTTGCTCAGACGAATAAGTGAAAATTTCATGCTTAAGTGTTCTGAATGCGTGGAAATGCTGTACATCTATGAGTGCACAAAAACAAAAACAATGTGATATTATTGTATCAAAAAGAAAATCACTCATAACTTAAAAATCTAAGGCATGTTTAATATACAAAGACCTGCAGAGTTCAGAGTAAGGTGAAAAAAAGTCCCAAAACGCTCTGTCAATTTACTCACACATGTGGCTGTTAAATTAAAGTCCATATGTTGATTTATATCTAAAGTAATGCTTATGAATGGTATTAGTTACACTAATTAATACATTATTTAAATGTATAATGTTTATAAAAAAGCAGATTTTTAAATCACATTTGAAGTTGATAAAAAGCCATAAAAATCCTAAATGTGCTGACTACACATCATCACCTATTATTACTAGTAACTTGTAAGTTATGCTTACTAACTAGAATTCTGTTAGCATAAATTCTAACAATTAAAAATGGTAAACTTGATTATTTTCATAAAACAAACAGTTGTTTTCGGTCTACACTATACTTACTCCAAACTCTCCTGTACAAATTAAAGCAAAATACTCTAAAAGATAAACCTTAAAAGACCCCCTGAGGTGAAAATCAAGTTTTTAATGTTGCTAATGTGTCTATATATCTATGATAGTTTTAGAGAGAAGCTGTCTGACTCTGAGATGGGGAACGGGAACATGGTTTGTGTACACATTTTTAGCTGTTTGATAACATAGTCATGCCAAAGGCTAATCATATCAATTACCACTATGTGTCCGACATTGCGATACATAAAACAAATTACCATTCTATTACATAGACGAGTCAGTATAATTCACTCTTCCACTTGTTTTGAATCAGTTTCTGGTTCAAACTTATATGGCTACACTTCCACTTTGCATTGTGTAGTGTTTCTGTGATATGTTAATGATTAATGTGCATATTAATGAGTGCACACATATATATTTATTATTATTTATTTCATTAATTGGCTTTATAGCTGCACTACTTCCTGAACTTCAGCCAGCTCCTTGTTTCCTGTCTGCCATTATTGGACAAACCGATTAATTCAGGTGTGCCTGACCTCAGTAGTCATGGCAACAATAATCAGACACACATTGATTAATCAGTTTGTCCAATAATGGAAGACAGGAAACAAGGAGCTGGCTGAAGTTCGGGAATAAACTCTATAGTCACAATTAAGCCATAATCTTCAAAATTATAACAAATAAAGGCTTGAAATATGTCACTTTGCATGTAATGAGAATGCACGATATTCACATTTTTCGAGTTTCCCCTATATATATATATATGTGTGTGTGTGTGAGTGTATATATATGTATACTGTATATATGAAGAGATCAGATGCAAAAGCCTCTTAGTGCCATTTGAAATTTTCTTCTAAAATGATCATTTTGATCAAGCTTGTATATTTAAGTTCAGTAATTTCACTTAAATGGCAATGAAGATTACCTATTAATTGTCATTTAAGTGAAATTACTGAACTTAAATATACAAGCTTGATAAAAATGGTCATTTTAGAACAAAATTTCAAATGGAACTCTTCATGTAATTTTGATTACCAAAGATGAGTTAGGGATACACTTATTGATTTTAAAACAGCAGACATCAGTTTAGAAGGCTTCATCCTAAGGCTTCAGTTAGATTTTTAGACTATATTACAGGTCAGAAGAAACATTTATTGTGATTATTAATACATTTTATAACTTACTAAACATCACATATCTATGCTTTTACTTTATAAATGCCAAACCCCACTCCAGGTCGTGCTCTTCCTCAAAATGCTACACTCATTTACATTATTTCATGAACAAGAATACTGTGAGAAAAATATCCGATCAATTTTTTAAATGGGCAACATTTATTTGAAACAGAACAGTGTGGCAATTTGAAAGTGATTAGTTGAATTTTCGATAGCATATTTAACATCAGAGACAAAGGCAGTGAACGATGAGGAAGGACATACCGATGGAGAATTCACACTGCGCTTTGGCAGAGAGGTTTCACACACAACATTGAAGTAATTGCTGTCAGCCCAAGACAGTGCATTGGGAATACTGCCAGAGGCAAATAGAGTACAGTAGGTGTTCCAATTTAAAGACTCGCTCAGTATGGGTTTGGGGGGAAAAAAAGAAAAGGAAATTAACATATTAGCTAGCATATGGTTGTGATGAAAAACTAATGGCTACAGAAATACAATGCATTTTTAGCTATAATGATGACGGGTCAAATATTCCTTAAATAGAATCTACAGTAACTGCAACAATTTGATATGATCTTGGTATTTAAAGGGAAAGACCCCCCCCATAAATGAAAAGTCTTTATGTCGTTCCAAACTGTTTTAAGCAGTATAAAGATCTCCTTTTATGTTCGATGGAACAAAGTCAAGCGAGTTTAGAATGACATGAGGGAGATCAAATAATGACGGAGCGATTCCTTTAACTTGGTCTACTGTGGGCTCCACATTTCTAAGCCTCTTAGCATTGCTGTCTCTTTGTTTTCAGAGAAGAATTAGTCTAAATAGGCAAATACTGCAATGATTATTCATAAACAGAAAGCATCTTTAAAACGCTTTAAGAATTTTACATGAATATTCCGTCGCGTGAGATAAGGACATGTTAATGCTTGATTATGGGCAAACAAAAGTGCTGATGAGGTGAACTAATTATGGAAGCATAATTCCATGCCACATTATTAATTACAGAGATATGACCTGTGAGCACAGCTCAAGAACACACACACACACCCACCCGTACATACCCACATAGTTCCAGAACAGTAAATTTGAGAGGTTGGTATTAATTTAAGCAAAATTAGAGCAAAGAAAAAATTTTATTAAAGGAATAATTCACCCAAAAATTTAAATTATCCCATAATTTGAATAGAGTGCGAGTTTTTGAAGAATCCATCCATCATAAAAATAATCCATACGACTCCAGTGGGTTAACAAATGCCTTTTGCGTATGACATCATTTTGTAATGAATGTCATTTCAGCTCTACATTCTGAGTACGAATTATCATATGCATTGAAAGACAACAATATACAAGCACTGTAAAAGGTTTAGCCACAAACTCAGCTGACTAGCTTCTCTCCTGTAGGATTTCAAATGAGTCTCTTCAGACCTTACTGTACATGAATTATGAGCTTCCAGAACTCCTAATTGAACTCGTTTCCACAAATTTAACACAGAAAATGGTATAAAAAAAACAGTATACAAACAAAAATAACAGTTAAAAGAACGTATTACTTACTGAAAAATAACTTAAGTGCAAACAATAAGTGCAACCATAATCAAAGATTATGATCAGTGAACTGTGATTCCTGCTGCACAATGTGCGACTCGGGAATTCGTACGAATTTTACAAGGTGGCTAATTCGTAACAACTCGTACGACCTCACTCTTTTTGTACTTTTTTTTTAATTTTGCTAAATCGTACATATTTTACGAATTAGCCAATTCGTATGAATTCGTACGAATGACCTACCCCTGACCCCGCCCCTAAACATAACCGTCATGTGGGTTTAGACAAATCGTACGAATTCGTACGAGTGAGGTCGTATGAATTATTACGAATTAGCCACTTTTGAATCACTCGTACAAATTCGTACAAATTGGTCGTGAGATAGCGTAGGCTCATGCTAATAAAATAGTTTACAATTGAAGTGACCGTTATCGAACAGATTTAAACGTTTTTTATCTCTATAAAAAGCAAAACGACAGGGGAGGCGGTGCCTGCTATTGGCACTGTAATGAAATGTAAACATAGCAGTTGCATAATCTATGCTAATTTAACCCTGTGTTTACAATACAAATGAGCATAATCTATACTAAGTTAACCCTGTCCTCTACGAGAAATCTCATCATATTTAATATGGGCTTTTCTCGTAAAATATTTATATATTAATTTAAATGGAAAAAAATAATTTTTTTAACGATTTACCGCCTTTAGAATAACTTTACTGCCAAATTCTATAGCTAGTGTTACCATGTTGCCAAGCTTATTGTGCGCTTTCTAATAAACATGAAAGTACACAACAAACAAATAATAACCGTTTATCAATACTATTCTTTTTTTAATTGATTGTTCAAATATTTATAATGAAAATCTCCAGATTTAATCTATTTTTCACTAAGCTTGTCGTCATGCATTTTGGGATTGCACAGAAATAAAAATATGTTTAGCCAGTTAATAATTAGCTTGTCACAATAAATACATTTACATTACTTGCAAAGTACTAATGACATAAGTACCATAATTAGAAGATTCTGTCTGTGTTCACGTCCTCGTAGAAACTCCGACTTTTCTGAAAGCTCAGACTTGGACCACCTGACCACTGCAAATTCATTTTGACAGTGTTGCACGAACATCTCAGAGCAAAACGTCACATGTTGTCATCTCGTAATCACAATAATTACGACATGGCGTGCATGCAGCTTCAGTTAAATGCTAAATTTCAACTGTACAGTAGTTTCTAAGGAGCGTCTTCAGCCCTGGAGAATAACCTGGCAAAAACAAGGCATCTTAGAAAGTTAAAAAATAATTATTGGAACAGCCTTACGTCGAAAGCCTTCAGTAAGCAGCTCCCTAGGTACTGGAACCGAGCCTAGATTTTAGAACAGAGCTTGTGTCGTCGTTACACAACGCCGTGTAACAAAAGGTGTTGTATGAGGAGAGAGCAGAGTAACTTATGTGAAGCATGAGGTGTTTGAAATGTGAAAAACAAACTTCAGTCTTACCTAGAGTAGTTGAAGAGTCTGCTGTCCCAGAGGCTGTGTACTCCACGGGGCCCACTGTGGAAGAAACAGGAGTCAGAGCCGTCAAAGTGGTTCAGCCCGTCCTCGGTGTTCTTGGATGCGTGGCTGTGCACCACATCAAGCAGGACGATGATACCCAGAGAGTGAGCCACGTCAATCAGCTCCTTGAGTTCCTCTGGGCTGCCAAAACGACTGGATAGAGAGAGAGAAGAACAGATGAAGGCAGATATCAGAGCAGCCAGGGCAGAGGTTGTCTGTCAACCTGTATGACCTTATTCTTGGTATGAGCTTGAATCTAGCAGTAGTTTGGGTGTTCAGCCCGACTCTTTTAAAAAGTACAGAGATATCTTTCGGGGTGTATTGCAACATAAAAGATGCACACGTAGGCTTGCAGAATACAGAACATCTGCTTTCTTCAAGACATGCTCAAGAAAATGTGTGTTGGAGTTGATGGCTGTCAATTTATTGTCATAATGCAGTTAGTTTGTTTTGTACATCTCAATTCTCATTCTCATGCCTCATTCTCATCTCAAGGCCTATATGATTTCTTTTAAAGGGTCAGTTCACCCAAAAATGAAAATTCTGTCACTATTTACTCACCCTCATGTTGTTCCAACCCCGTAAGACCTTCGTTCATCTTCGGAACACAAATAAAGATATTTAAGATATTAAGATCGCTCCTGCATACTAGTCCATAGGCTTCTTGAGGGAATGACTTGCTGGCCTCGAAAAGTCATCAAAGACATCGTTAAAATAGTCCAAGAGACTACAGGGGCTCAATTTTAACTTTATCAAACGACGAGAACACTTTTTGTGCGCAAAAACAAACAAAAATAACGACTTTATTTCAACTATTCACTTTCTTCTCCATGGGCCTGTAGTCAGTTAACGTAGTGTGATTGCGTAAAGCTACGTCACACGTAGGCTCACTATTGGCCGACGCTGGTCATGTGTGTGATGCGTGTGGCGTACAATAACACGCTATTAAACTAGTAACCTGACTCGAGGCAGAGGGAGAAATAAACGAATAGTTGAAATAAAGTCGTTATTTTTGTTGTTTTTTTGCGCACAAAAGTGTTCTCGTCGTTTGATAAACTTAAGATTGAGCCCCTGTAGTCACTTGGACTATTTTAACGATGTCTTTAATGACTTTTCGAGGCCAGCAAGTCATTCCCTCAAGAAGCCTATGGACTAGTATGCAGGAGCGATCTTAATATCTTAAATATCTTAATTTGTGTTCCGAAGATGAACGAAGGTCTTATGGGGTTGGAACAACATGAGGGTGAGTAAATACTGACAGAATTTTCATTTTTGGGTCAACTAACCCTTTAAGGATTTAAACACTTCAAAGGGCAAAAATAAATGGTAACACTTTACTTGAAGGGGTGTACAGAAGACTGACATGACACCTTAGTAACCATGACATGACATGCAGTATGTCTTGAATATGAAGTAGGGTTTATGCATGTTTATGAAAACTGTCATTAAGTGTCATTCGCTCAATAATGACATTTTGAATGCAAATATGACATTATGACATCTTGACATAAACCATAACATCATAACCTGTCAGTGTCTTTGTCATGACAACTTTACATAAAATGAAGTTAAACTGTCATGTGGTTGGCTTTGACATTGGCTGTCATGAGGCCATTATAAATGTGTCATGAATATTTTTCGTGACCTCAACTACAGTGGTACTAATTGAATTTGTCATTAAAAAGTTATAATGGCTTCATGAATGTCAAAACCAACCACCTGACAGTTTAATGTAATGTTAACCTATAAAGCTAAGTGGTTTCTTAAGTTTGATAATTAATCTGTTATGTCATGTTTAAGACAGGTTTTGATGTATTGGTTTATGTCAAGTTGTCATAACAAAGACATCTCAAACAATTTCATATTTACATTAAAAATGTCATAACTGAGCGAAAATGACAGTTGTCATAATATAAACATGCATAAAAATTCCATGGATTATTTTGTCTTTTAAGAAAAAAAACTAAGAAAAACTGAACTAAACTGAAATGTTGAACTAAAAATAAAATGGAAATATGAACTAAATTGTACTTTCATTTATAAGCTATTTTTTCAGGCTCATATCAAGAAGATCAGGTATGATGGATCGGCTAAGCCAGATGACATGATCAGCTGCTCAAACAAACGCCAAATAAAGTCCCATTTAAATGGCACAGTGGTGATACGTAACGGATCGCCCATTTTGGGATTCGAACTTACAATCTCCTGGATATCATCCCAGTTCTGCCACACTACATGTGTGTGTGTGTGTGTGTGCTTATCTCAGAAAGTCATCCCCCTACACAACAGCTGTGTTTAGCAATAGCAGCAGTGCGAATACATCAACCGTGAGGCCCAATTGCTGTTGTAAAAACAAACAAATATGGCAGTAAATAAAAATCAATCTCAGATCGCCTACACAGTCATGGACGCTGAGCAGAGGTCAAAGCCTCAATTCGGGGTGACATATTACTCCTTGTGGAACAAAGGGCGAGAGTGGCGCGTTTCCATCAGCGCTTCCTCACGTATCTCCTTGGTGTAATTGCTCCATGAAGCTTCATCTGTCCTCCAGCTATCATCATATCGCTTTCCCCCGGCAAACGTGACACAACAATACCCCTCCCCACGGCCTCCACCCCTTCCCGGCATCCAGACCTTGCACTTTTTAAACGGCTCAGGGAGATCAATCATGGGTGAAATTACTCTGTATACATTATACTGGCGCTATAGGCTGTCGCCAGCGCTAGCTGGTAAGGGCAGCCGACGGAATAAAAGCACATAAATAAAGAATTCCTGCCTGTCTTCCTTTATCTGAGGTCTTTACCTCTCCACAGGATTAACTGCAAATGTGTTTACAGGGAGATTATCGGCCCCGTCAGAGGCGCCTCTCTGTGATTTGGGGCCACAGAGTCTACAAGGAGTGTGCGCGCCTATAGTTTTTACTATAGTGTTGCACTTACCTCATTTTAAACATTATGAAAATTAAAATGAGTGGCCGGTACCATCGGGTGTCCAGTGAGAGTCAACAAGTGTGACCGACAGTTGATTTTCAGGGTGTTTTTTTTTTATCTGACACTTATGACAGGGGGGAGAGTGAGCCAATCAGTAGAAGGGGGCGTGTCCACTTATGATAGGGAGGAGAGAGAGCCAATCAGCAGTAGGAAGCGTCTACTCATGATAGGGAGGAGAGAGTGAGCCAATCAGCAGTAGGGGGCGTGTCCACTCAAGATAGGGAGGAGAGAGAGTGAGCCCATCAGCAGAAGGGGGCGTGCCCAATTATGATAGGGAGGAGCGTGAGCCAATCAGCAGTAGGGGGCGTGCCCACTTATGATAGGGAGGAGAGTGAGCCATCAGCAGAAGGGGGCGTGTCCACTTATGATAGGGAGGAGAGAGAGCTAATCAGCAGTAGGAAGTGTCTACTCATGATAGGGAGGAGAGAGAGTGAGCCAATCAGCAGTAGGGGGCGTGTCCACTTATGATAGGGAGGAGAGAGAGTGAGCCAATCAGCAGTAGGAAGCGTCTACTCATGATAGGGAGGAGAGAGTGAGCCAATCAGCAGTAGGGGGCGTGTCCACTCAAGATAGGGAGGAGAGAGAGTGAGCCCATTAGCAGAAGGGGGCGTGCCCAATTATGATAGGGAGGAGAGTGAGCCAATCGGCAGAAGGGGGCGTGTCCACTTATGATAGGGAGGAGAGAGAGCTAATCAGCAGTAGGAAGTGTCTACTCATGAAAGGGAGGAGAGAGAGTGAGCCAATCAGCAGTAGGGGGCGTGTCCACTTATGATAGGGAGGAGAGAGAGTGAGCCAATCAGCAGTAGGAAGCGTCTACTCATGATAGGGAGGAGAGAGTGAGCCAATCAGCAGTAGGGGGCGTGTCCACTCAAGATAGGGAGGAGAGAGAGTGAGCCCATCAGCAGAAGGGGGCGTGCCCAATTATGATAGGGAGGAGAGTGAGCCATTCAGCAGTAGGGGGCGTGCCCACTTATGATAGGGAGGAGAGTGAGCCAATCAGCAGTAGGGGGCGTGCCCACTTATGACAGGGGGGAGAGTGAGCCAATCAGTAGAAGGGGGCGTGTCCACTTATGATAGGGAGGAGAGAGAGCTAATCAGCAGTAGGAAGCGTCTACTCATGATAGGGAGGAGAGAGAGTGAGCCAATCAGCAGTAGGAGGCGTGTCCACTCAAGATAGGGAGGAGAGAGAGTGAGCCCATCAGCAGAAGGGGGCGTGCCCAATTATGATAGGGAGGAGAGTGAGCCAATCAGCAGTAGGGGGCGTGCCCACTTATGATAGGGAGGAGAGTGAGCCAATCAGCAGAAGGGGGCGTGTCCACTTATGATAGGGAGGAGAGAGAGCCAATCAGCAGTAGGAAGTGTCTACTCATGATAGGGAGGAGAAAGAGTGAGCCAATCAGCAGTAGGGGGCGTGTCCACACATGATGGGGGAGGAGAGAGAGTGAGCCAATCAGCAGTAGGAAGTCTCCACTCATGATGGGGGAGGAGAGAGAGTGAGTAAGAGGGAAATTTGAAGAAAGAGAGATGGCTGAGAGACATTACAAAAGACAAAAAGATGAAAGGAATTTCAGTGGAAAAAGAAGGGTTATGATCTGGCAAGAGGTTTGGGACACAAGTTAATATTAGAAAAGCTTTCCAGTGTTAGCCATGAGCAGCGATGGGCGCTTTCGAAAGGTTCAAGACCTTTGTTTCGAACCAGTGATTCAGTGCATATCGAACTGCAGTCATATGATTTCAGTAAACCAGGCTTCGTTATGACAACTGTCATAACCAAAATTGACAACAAAGCAGCTTACTAGGTTTACTTGACTTACTAGTCAAGATTTATACAACAAGATTTATAAAAAATGGATTTGAACATTTTCAAATATATTTACCTTGATGCAGCGAAGAAACTCGTGATCTGGTAACCGAAGCTAGCGTAGTAGGCATGTTCCATGATCGCCATCAGCTGAATACAGTTATAGCCTGTGTGTATGGCAATAAAGAGAGCAGTGATTATTAGCATAATCACATATATTTGTCATTGTTTGCTCATTCCCATGCTGTTCCAAATTAATATGACTTTCTTTCTTTAGTGAAAAATTTGATATTCTGAAGACTGCTCAAGTCAGTGAGCTGAAGTCAGATCGAATCAGTCTGAACAAATCATGCTCTTTTGAATGAACAGGTTAGTCAACTCCAGTGACTCCAGGTACAGATACATTTTCATCTTTTCATCACACAAAGCTATCATATGGCTTCAGAAGATATGTAATATAATGTATGAGTGATCTGGAATACTTTCATGGTCATTTTTGGAGCTTAACTCGCTAAAGAAATATCATAAAAATCCCCTAGAGCTGCACGATTATGTGAAAGAAAATTGATAAAAGACCGATAAACACTGCGATAGCAATTTAAAAGCAATTTAAAATATTTAGCTCGCAATTTTTTTTAGCTCGAGGTTTGCCCAGCTCTTTGCTTTGCTTGTTGCAAAAAAATATTATAAAAAAAAAAAAATAAGGCTGCTAATGTTTTATGATTATATATCAATATGACAACAACATTAAAAACTATGATGATTACTATACTATAAAAATTAAATAATAAAAAATAATGAATAAAACCATAAATATAAATATATATATATATATATATATATATACACACACACACACACACACGCACACACACACAGGAAATTGGTATATGGTAATTGGATCATATGCCTTCATTAAAACATGGCTTTTAAATGGTTTTATTCAGTAATTAATTTGATTATTTTTATAGTATTTTTTAATGTTGTTGTCATATTGATGTATAATCATAAAACATTAGCATCCTTAATTTTTTTAAATAATGTTTTGTGATTATATCAATATGACAACAACAACAACAATATGAAAAATTATTTAAAAACAACAAATAATATAAACATAAAATACTGAACAAACATTTAAAATGAATAAAATATAAGAATTACCCAATTCCCGTATTAATGTAATATTTTACAAAAAAAAAAAAAAAAAATCCAGATTATGAAAATATGTCTTAATTCTTTCTTTTTTTTTTTTTTTTTAAAGTGGATATTTACATGGCATGACGCATACAGGTGAGTAAATAAGAGCATTTTATTTTTGGATGAACTATTCTTTAAAAAAGCTTCAAATCTTTTAAGATGCTACACGCATTTGTTAAAAACAGATTTTTGGTTGTGATTTTTAGCTAAGTTTTCATGCAAAATAAACATGTGGGAGCCAAATAAGTACAAATTCTGCTGTTACTGAATTTGTGTAGCCCTCATGGCAGTGTGTTCGAAATGCCCATGCAGAGTACGATGGCTTCATGCAATTCATAAAAATCTGCTTTCGTTAACGAGACGATATTATACAACACTCAACACCCCAAACCTTGACAGGACAACACTACAAAACACTGAGGTACAGCAGCAACCCAAACCCACCAAAACGGCTATTTTTCTCTGTCCAGTAAGTGTCCACTACAGAAGTTAGGTCTTTTATGCAAACACAGAGGGCCATCGGGACGCACCGCCTGAATGACTCATGAGTTCACACGCAAGTCATACCAGCCTGGATCAGCCACAAAACCAGCGTTTCGTTCCCCCACGCAAGCTGTATCTGCACTGACACAGCTTTGAAACTGTACAGGAAGGACTCAAGAGGGAAATCCAGGCTTGTCTCACATAGTTCTTTTTCTGAGCAGATTGGTTTATTTATTTATCTAGCTAGCTAGCTATCTTCCTCGCCCTGCTTCAGAGAAAGTTTGGATTTTTGATGAGGTGTGACAGCACCAGGGGCTCATCTCAGCGATGATGCACCAACACACGCACACACACACAGAGCACTTTTTCAAGCTTTTTAGATGTCAGAGCCACAGTTGTCTAGGGAAATGCAAACCAGTTACCACAAAACAATGAGAACTCCTGGGAGCCACAGACACGGTGTGTTTTAATACATGGACATAGGCATGAATTATTCTATCATAACATTTGCTTTTGCAAATAGCATTGTAGGATTTTATGTGGGAAGACGGTCAATTGCCATGTAAACATTCAAGCACACATACTTCTGTTTTTCCTACGAGCACAAGATACATTTTATATATATATATATATATATATTTTCAGAGGGAAACGCAAGTGGTGAGGCAACATGCTGGAGTTGGCCTGAAAGTTTTCAATGTTTTCCTTGTCTCCGAGATGCCAAAAGAACCCACCACCAAGAAATTTCTATAAAATGATACATATACACTCACCTAAAGGATTATTAGGAACACCTGTTCAATTCCTCATTAAAGCAATTATCTAATCAACCAATCACATGGCAGTTGCTTCAATGCATTTAGGGGTGTGGTCCTGGTCAAGACAATCTCCTGAACTACAAACTGATTGTCAGAATGGGAAAGAAAGGTGATTTAAGCAATTTTTAGCGTGGCATGGTTGTTGGTGCCAGACGGGCCGGTCTGACTATTTCAAAATTTATTTCACAAAGTATTTCTAGGGTTTACAAAGAATGGTGTGAAAAGGGAAAAACATCCTGTATGTGGCAGTCCTGTGGGCGAAAATGCCTTGTTGATGCTAGAGGTCAGAGGAGAATGGGCCGACTGATTCAAGCTGATAGAAGAGCAACTTTGTCTGAAATAACCACTCGTTACAACCGAGGTATGCAGAAAAGCATTTGTGAAGCCACAACACGCACAACCTTGAGGCGGATGGGCTACAACAGCAGAAGACCCCACCGGGTACCACTCACCTCCACTACAAATAGGAAAAAGTGGCTACAATTTGCAAGAGCTCACCAAAATTGGACAGTTGAAGACTGGAAAAATGTTGCCTGGTCTCATGAGTCTCGATTTCTGTTGAGATATTCAGATGGTAGAGTCAGAATTTGGCGTAAACAGAATGAGAACATGGATCCATCATGCCTTGTTACCACTGTGCAGGCTGGTGGTGGTGGTGTAATGGTGTGGGGGGTGTTTTCTTGGCACACTTTAGGCCCCTTAGTGCCAATTGGGCATCGTTTAAATGCCACGGCCTACCTGAGCATTGTTTCTGACCATGTCCATCCCTTTATGGCCACCATGTACCCATCTTCTGATGGCTACTTCCAGCAGGATAATGCACCATGTCACAAAGCTTGAATCATTTCAAATTGGTTTCTTGAACATGACGATGAGTTCATTGTACTAAAATGGCCCCCACAGTCACCAGATCTCAACCCAATAGAGCATCTCTGGGATGTTGTGGAACGGGAGTTTCGTGCCCTGGATGTGCGTCCCATAAATCTCCATCAACTGCAAGATGCTATCCTATCAATATGGGCCAACATTTCTAAAGAATGCTTTCAGCACCTTGTTGAATCAATGCCACGTAGAATTAAGGCAGTTCTGAAGGCGAAAGGGGGGTCAAACACAGTATTAGTACGGTGTTCCTAATAATCCTTTAGGCGAGTGTAGATGGGGCCCTCCATACCAGATCTGTCTGCATTGTCCAAAACTGTCCATGCCATGTTTCTATGATTTTTGATTTTCTAGTTCTAAAAGTGATATTCTAAAGTTAAAATTTTGATTTAACGAGGCCATCACCAACACTAACCAACCCATGTGATTAAATTCTAACCAAAAAAATCAATTATAAAACATTCAAATAAAATGTGTAAGAAATGTTAAATAAGAGATTTACGCCTGTTCATATCATATAAAGATTTTTTTAATAGCTTCAGAATTCTTGAAATATAGTGCATGTGACGTATGGAGCTCCATTTCACTATAAAATCAAAATGGGCAATTCTTGTTTTATCTTTTATGAAATATTGCTGTATTTATTATAAATTATTGAGTCATCCATGCATATCATATATATTTTTAATTCATGTGTCCTTCTCCGCCCTCTTGCAGTGACATCTCTTCTCTTCAATGATGATGCGTTTACCCACATGAGATCGACCAATAGCAATCCACAACCATCCAATCAATTCCCCATGGACAAAATCAAGCCCACCCAACATTTTTTCTAGTTCAAAAAAACGTTTCACTCGTATATATGTCACAATATAGAAGTTCCATTTCATGCGACTTTGACAGTGAGTCCACATTCCCTTTCTTTATATAAAAAAGTGTGACCAGAACATTATCCACAGCACTTTGAATTTTGGGGAAACTAACTTTGTAACTGTTATATGACCCCAATCGCTAAACCACAGGCTTCTAAACCTCATCTTCTGTGTCTGGTGGATACTTTAAAATACCCCCAGCATCTCCAAAACACATCGGCACAATTAAATCCACCTCTCTCCAACCCTCATCAACGGCAGCACTAATGAACACTTCACACGGTGACTAAAGCCTGTAAACAGGGTGTTGACCTACAGAAAGGGGCTTGAGGTACCAGGGCCAGCCGCTCATCATAAATGCGGCAATGTGTGTCAGTTTAAGCATCACTGCAGCTCGGATACTTCGTGATGAAGGAGGAATGTTGGCAGGGAGAATATAACCTCACTCTGAGCTAAAAAAAATATGTTTGTATCCTTGAAAAAGGTAAAGTACTGGATGAGTAATTCCAAGGTACTTTGATATACACTATAGCACAAAATGATAACAATATTCATTTTACAATTTACCTTAATAGTCCGCTGGAATATTTTAAAAGAATACCATGATGTTGGTATATTTCCACCAAAAAAACATGGTAATACTGTATTATGGTATACTTCAGTACTGCTTTACAGACCTGCTACTGATCATGAAGCCCATTGTGCTTTTTGTTAGCCTAGAAAAATGAAAGTGTGGAACTCTTTTTAAGAGCATAACATTGTAGTAATGAATTATCTTCCCCATCTGAATCATCAAATGTCTTCTTTTCATTTTAAAAGTTTAGCTAAAACAATTATTTGAGGGATGAAGAGTATTTAAGCATGTGCCAAATTTTAAATTGAAAGTTGAAAAAGGACAATTGCTTAACATTTTGTTTCAAAAGACCACGGAGAAAAATGATAAATGTTGAATAAAAAAAAAAAAAACAGTCAAGTGACATTTACGGATAAAATATTTTGTTATTTTTTTTAATGCCAAATATGCTAATTAATTTAAGGCAACAAAAAAGTAAGGTGACTAAATGAAATGTGACCAAACTAAACGAAATGAAATAAACTAAGGAAGAAAGTAAAGGATGTGTTAAAAAACACAATTAAGTATAAATAAAATAATGTATTTGAGTATTTGAATGAAATGTTACTGACAAAGATACTAATTAAAGCAAGGGAAAAAAAGAAATAAAAAACTAAACATCACAATGCCAAATAGAAGCTGTTTTGTGTTTTTTTTTTTTTAAATAGAGAGGATTAAGCAACTTTTTAAGCAAGTTGCAGGGATTAAGCAACTTAAGTCAATTTAGTACAAATTCTCATTATCACAAGAGTTTTGTGTCAATGAAGCAGTCTCTTACCAAGATCTTTGATCCTGGGCAGCACGTTGTGTGTAAAGTTGCTGTAGGATGCCACTTTGCCCTCAGGAGAAGCGATGCCAACGTGGGACTCGTATATCCGTAAGCTCCTGGGCTTCTGAGGACGAGGATGCTTGTGCTGGCACAGAAAAAGCAGGGAAATATCTCTGGAACAATTCCTCATCCAAATTTAACATCACAGAATGAAACAAGTCCATGCCAATACAACTGAAGATAAGATGGAGCCGCTGAACAGAGCTGACAGTAGCTAATCTGGAGAATCTCATCATATCATGAATTATGACCGGAGGACATTAACAAGCATATATAATTCATAGTCTGAGGAGATGATGTTCATGTCTCGACTTGATATTAAAGCAAAATTGCAATAAGTAGAAACCAATGAAATGGCTCATGATGCATTTACAAAGCCATTTTCTTCATCCCCCAGATTTCAGACAGTTTGCTTTGCTTGGAAACTTTAATTAATAGGAATTACACACACATCCTTATTAAAGTAGGAAGCTTATTTTCGCCATGGAATAAACTAATAAAAAGTTATAAATCACACAACAAACTTTACAGAGTTTACATCCCACAATTCTGACTTTTTTCTCAGAATTTTGCATTCGCATCCAGTCAGGTCTCTAAAAAATGTGGAGGAAAACACTGGAAGATGAAAAATTAGAATTCAGAGACGAAAAAAGTGAATTGTGAGATATAAACTCACAATTCTGAAGGGGGGAAAGGCAGTAATGTGAGATGTAAACACGCACGTGTGAGTAAAAAACTGAATTGAGAGATGCCAATGTCAATTTTATTTATATACCACCATTTATCACAACCTACGATACAAAGTCGCAATTACCCTAATTTTTATAGATTTTTATTTCGTGGCGAAAACAAGATTTCAGACTATTTTTACAGGGTCATCCAAATTAAAAATGAAAAATATACTGTACATAGCTAAAGGGGGTATATGTAAGAATTTACATGTATTAATTACCTTTTTTAATCCAAATGCGTGATCTTGTAACAAAACTTTTAAAAAACGAGTCCCCGACTTTCAATGGTGTCTATGAAACCTAATATACTGATATTTATGTGAAGGACTCGGGACGTTTTAGCTGGTAAAATCAAAAGTATCTGATGTTTACGCACGCTCCTGAGATCCTTTACGAGACTCATGAAATGAATGCTTATACAATGTTCATGAAAATGCATAAAGAGCCATTCAATAGTGTAATGTCAATGTGTCATGCAAATACAAGTGTTAAACTATAGTCAGATCTATATAGTCTATAGTCTCAAATATACTTAAAATATACTATCATAACAGTGTGATTTTAATACATCATCTGTCAGGATGATGCCGGTGAATCGCAGGGCTGGTTCAAAAATATCCACATCGCAATACAGTATAAACTAATAACAAGTGTTTCTCAATTCTACATATAGCCCCTTTAAAGGGATAGTTCACTTTGAAATTAATTTTTGATATGTTTTAGCTTACCTCAAGGGCATCCATTATGTAGGTGTCTTTGACGATATAAATAACGATATAAAAACGATATAAATACTGTTCGTTTTCTTACAAAAACTTAAGCCATCAATGTGTACTTACATTTACGAGTCATTAAATCATGTTTAACTTTGACTTCTCTGTGCATGCTTTTTGGTGGACCCCCTTAGCCTCCGGTGTATGATTGATAGACAACAACGGTTTGACTGAAAAATGTCAAAATTGAAAATACTGTGGAAACAAAGACACCTACATCTTGGATGCCCTTGAGGTAAGATAAAACATATTAAAAATTAATTTCAAAGTGAACTATCCCTTTAAACAGAAGGGTCGAAACTCAGAGCTAATAAGTACAAAACAAAAGGTTGTGGCACACCAACGCAGGGGGGAATAATCACTTACAATGTAAGGTTGAGGAGGGTCCCAATGTACCCAATCATAGATGACGGCCTTCTCATGCTGGGTCACATACTTTGCCCAAGGAGAGATTCGGTAGAGTCGCTCACCGGCTTTGGTGTGAACAACCACCTGGGAAGAGAGACAAATGAAGGATGTAACGGCAAGGGCACACAGAGAAGGTGAGGACATGGGCACAAGCAAAGGGTGCAGGGTAATGCCGGTAAGAGAAAATGTGTTTACAGCTGCCAGAGAGCAGGGATAAAGGGCCAATCTCATGGAGAAAGGTCACACAGTCCAAGCAAGAGAGGACGTTTGAGTGGAGTCTGACCGCTGGAGGTGAAAGAGGTTTAGTGCAGAAAAAAATATGACTTTTGAATTGATTGCATCGAGAAAACCTTGTGGCAAGAACAGTTTCTGAAAGGTTTATGATCATTTTTAAAAGGAAAAACTGCACGGTTATCGATTTGATAACCAAAAAGAGCCAGACCGATATATCGGCAGGCCGATATTATCGGCCGATATTAGGCATTTTACAAACTATCGGTATCGGCAGTTATAATGGCCGATAAATGAATGTTTCAAAAATAAAATAAAAATGGATGAAACACGCATAAACCATGTCATGTTGGAGTGTTGGAGTTGTATAAGTTTGTCCACCAGAGGGCACTCTATACAATCCCTGGCCTGTTGGCAACACTCGTTTATAACGCGCAACACATTCTAGCTAACCACAAAGCTAGCTAATGCCACTATCATCAATGGAATTTAATGAGCTTTGTTAATTAATTAATGGGCTTTGGTTCCTCCTCTGTTCTGTTGCGACAATAAAAGAAATCAGTTTTTTTTTAAAACTGCATTATCATATTATTTTAATTAAAACCCATACATAACTACAAATAACTAAATGTTAGGGAAATCTGTTAATGTTTTGTTGTGCGTTCCTGAAAAAAAAAATAATAATAAAAAATATCGGCCGATATATCGGAATATCGGATTTTAAAACCAACAAAAATTTGTATCGGTATCGGCCTTCAGAATCCTTTATCGGTCGGGCTATTAATAACCATAGAAAAGTCGGTTTCACTTTATTTGGATGGCCTCTTTAACACATTTAGTTGACTATAAGTGATGTTGCACCTACATATGTACTAACTCTCACTAGAGTGTTAGTAGAGTATTAGTAGACTGGTAGGGTTAGGGATAGAATAAATTGACATGTAGTTGCAAAGTTACATATGTTGGAGGAGCATCACAATAAAGAGTTGGCAGATATTAAGCAGACAGTTTACTAATACTTTAATGAGAGTTAGTTGACATATTGCAAAGTTATTTATAGTCAACAGGATGTTCAATATAAAGTGTTACCGAAAAGTCAAAGTGTGGCAATAAACGTGCAGCGTTCTGGTAAACACATTTGTGTTTGCTTATATTTTTTACTTGGCACTTGCTTTACAGGCATATACATACAAACTTGAAAGAGTAACATGAATAATAGATCAAACGCTTTCCGTTTTTACCAATATGCCCTAGATTACAACTATAGACAGAGAGGGCCGGAAAGATTACGCTGGAACTGATGTTCGTGCCAGTGTTTAAAGCAACAGCTCACTCATAAATAAAAAGTATGCCACAATTTATTCACCGTTATGTTTTTTTACAAACATCTAGAACTTTTGTAAGAACCCAAAATTAGATGTTTAGCAAAATGTCTAATCTTTTCTATACAATGAAAGTGAATGGAGACGTCAAGACCACAAAATGACAAAAAGCACCATAAAAAAATCCTATTTTTATGATGCTTGTTCTGAGCTGTGGTCAATCTATGTTTAACTGTATGGAAGTCAACAACCAGGCAATCTGCTGAAGAACTATTTATGTTCAACAGAAGAGGAAAAACTGTGATATGGGTTTGGAATGTCATGACAGCGAGACATTTTTTGAATTTTTATTTTTGACCTTTCGATGTCACTGAAGTGTGATGTGTAAAGGTGTTTATGTTTATTATGCTAGACTGTGCTTTCCTCACAAAGAAGATGATTTCTAAGACTGTCTGAAATAAAGCTATAAGCCTGCACAAAACCATTGATCAGAAACGGAAAGGGTCATTTAATCCTCTGTGTACTATTGGCAGTGTTATTTATAGGCTGAAGCAAAACTATTCACTCGCAGATATTACAAACTCATCACGTGTCCCTGATTAGACCAGAGAAGCAATCCTTTCTAAAGGGCATTTGAAGGCAGCGTGTGAATTTAATGTCAGAGTGTGTTTTTCCATTGATCTGTACAGTTGTAGATGTGCACTAGATGTGGCGGCAGAGGATTTATAGACGCCAGGAACGTGTGTGCAATTCAAACCAATGCAAAATGTAATATAATATAATACCCGGCCAAATCCTGGAATTTGATCAAGATGATACATGGTTGTTTAAGAAATGAAAAGCTTCACACTCCATCAATTAGGGTTAGAAGAACTGTTGCCAAACATATAACATGCTAGAAACATAATAATCATAGCAATACAGATCCTATCGTAGACTCTTAACCATTTGCCTATTTATATCCAGACAGCAACTTTGTTTTGGCCGAGTAATGTAAATGTACACTCGCCTAAAGGATTATTAGGAACACCGTACTAATACTGTGTTTGACCCCCTTTCGCCTTTAGAACTGTCTTAATTGTACGTGGAATTGATTCAACAAGGTGCTGAAAGCATTCTTTAGAAATGTTGGCCCATATTGATAGGATAGCATCTTGCAGTTGATGGAGATTTGTGGGATGCACATCCAGGGCACGAAGCTCCCGTTCCACCACATCCCAAAGATGCTCTATTGGGTTGAGATCTGGTGACTGTGGGGGCCATTTTAGTACAATGAACTCATTGTCATGTTCAAGAAACCAATTTGAAATGATTCAAGCTTTGTGACATGGTGCATTATCCTGCTGGAAGTAGCCATCAGAGGATGGTGGCCATAAAGGGATGGACATGGTCAGAAACAATGCTCAGGTGGGCTGTGGCATTTAAACAATGCCCAATTGGCACTAAGGGACCTAAAGTGTGCCAAGAAAACATCCCTCACACCATTACACCACCACCACCAGCCTGCACAGTGGTAACAAGGCATGATGGATCCATGTTCTCATTCTGTTTACACCAAATTCTGACTCTACCATCTGAATGTCTCAACAGAAATCGAAACTCGTCAGACCAGGCAACTTTTATCCAGTCCAATTTTGGTGAGCTCTTGCAAATCGTAGCCTCTTTTTCATATTTATAGTAGAGGTGAGTGGTACCCGGTGGGGTCTTCTGCTGTTGTAGCCCATCCGCCTCAAGGTTGTGCGTGTTGTGGCTTCACAAATGCTTTGCTGCATACCTCGGTTGTAACGAGTGGTTATTTCAGTCAAAGTTGCTCTTCTATCAGCTTGAATCAGTCAGCCCATTCTCCTCTGACCTCTAGCATCAACAAGGCATTTTCGCCCACAGGACTGCTGCATACTGGATGTTTTTCCCTTTTCACACCATTCTTTGTAATTCCTAGAAATGGTTGTGCGTGAAAATCCCAGTAACTGAGCAGATTGTGAAATACTCAGACCGGCCCGTCTGGCACCAACAACCATGCCACGCTCAAAATTGCTTAAATCACCTTTCTTTCCCATTCTGACATTCAGTTTGGAGTTCAGGAGATTGTCTTGACCAGGACCACACCCCTAAATGCATTGAAGCATCTACCATGTGATTGGTTGATTATTGAACAGGTGTTCCTAATAATCCTTTAGGTGAGTGTAATTTGATGATCTTAAAGATGAGCTTCATGGTGAGCTTAAAAGACTCATATATTCAGAATTTTGCTCAAACCTAACCTGACACACCAAGAAAAAGAAAAACCAGCCTGAGGCACTCAGTTTCCAGCCCGCTTTCTAAACAAGAGCCTGAAAACAGCAGTGAGTACTAGTCTACGCTCAAACTTACTCAAAGTCACTCTTCTCTTCCCTCTCCGCAGCAGCGCACAGTCACACGACTGTCAGGGAGCGTGGATCGATAACAGAGCATCTCTCACTATGTGAATGCACCCCGGGGAGCTCTCCATCCTGAGTCTTCCTATCTCTCTCTCTTTCCCGGGCCAAAAAGCAAATGGATCATTTGATGGTCCCCTCCATAAGCTGCCAGCAAGAGGTAATGACTGAGCCATTGGCACCTGCCGGTGACCTACAGAGGAGCGTCCCAGTGGGGCTCAATCATTAGTGGCTCTTCACCCGAGGACATGCAGGAGAGCCAAACCGCCACACCACGGGTTTGCCAGTTTATATAAATTACTGAGAAAAGAGTGGGAGAATGGACAGATGCTGAGCCAGACAGACTGATGGAGATAAAACAGCAGAAAATAGCAGACACACGGTGTCAATGAAAGCAGGGTGAGGTGGAGGATAAATGGATGATGATAAAACTCTCACTGAGTTCATTTAATGTCTGTCACTTTGCTGTACTTTAAAATTAGGGTCCAGTCGCAGGTTTACTGAGCCGTGAATGTGTCTTCAAAAATCATCTGTTAACATTAGTTATTGGATTGTGAATTAACGTGAACATTTTATAATTTATATTATGAACTAACTAACAAAGGTTAAAAAAATGCTATAAGATCATTGTTCGTTGCTAGTTCATGTTACTAATGTTAACAAATGAGACTTTATTGTAAAATGTTAACTTTTCTTTTGAAGAAAGTGTTTTATTGCAGCAAGGATGCATTAAATTGTTCAAAACTGAAAGATTATGAACTGATTTCCATTTTAAATTTTGTATTCATGAAATAATCCTGAAAAACTATTAAAAGAAACATGAAACAGCAACAGTTTCCATCTTTGTTAATAATAAATCATGTTTTTGAGCAAGAAAATCAGAATATTAGAATGATTTCTGAAGAATCGTGTATCAATGAAGACTGGAGTAAACTCAGATTTACATCAGAGGAATAAATTACATTTCAAAATATATTTAAAACAGAAAACCGCACTTTTTTTTCAATTGTAATACACTTTTACTAAATATTTTTTCACTCATTTTTTCATTTTTGGTGGCTTCATGCAAGAAATATTCCATATTTGTGTCACATGGAGATCTTGTTAAACCTCTGATATTTTACTTTTTTAATTTGGTGAAAGTTGTGTAGTAGACATTAGTAGTATTTTTACAGTCAAGGCTTAAGCCTATAGTCCCAGACTAAAATGCATTTTTGAGCTGTTTTAACTAAATGAAACTTGCACTAAAATATCTTAAAATTTGTCAATGCCATTGTTTTGTCTCAAGCTGCACATCAGTAATTCTTTTTTTTCTAAGGCACATTTATAAAAGTTACTTAAATGTCCTAATTGAACTAAGGCCTAATACTAGCTTAATCTGTGAAACCAGGTCTTAATGTCTTAAATTTAGTCAACAGGTTCATAAAAAAACCTAAAAGACCAATAACAACACATGGCCTCTCCTAAACCTGAGGCATGAATCAGAAAGAATAGGACAGTCCATTTCCTGCATAATTAAAGTCTGACTGGCCCACTTTTCACCGGAAACATTATCCAGTTGACACTCAACTCATCCAAGTCCAGTCTGGGGGCCTGAACTGGGACAGGGCCAGACTCTGCATCTGGTTCTTATCGTCCAGTGCCTGACCCAAGGAGACAACCGGAACAAAGCGACCAGAAAAGCAGCCTTTGCCCAGTGAGTGGCACCTACCTGCCATCCATCAAGCCTCTGCCAGCGTGTCACACAACATAATGCACAGCATGCAGGCTTGTACACAGATAGATTAGGAATTAAACTCTCCTTGATGTCCAACAACTGGATCTATAAAGTCTAGACACTGGATATATAAAGTCCTGAAGGGATGACTTTTTTTTTGTTTGTTTTTTGGATAATTGGTTAAATGCCTGAAATAAGGTCTGTGATGAACACAACCTCAATACATTTTCAACAAAATGAAATACATCATTGCGACTCATTTGTGACATTACTTGTCTTTAAAACAGCGCTAAATGTGACTCCAGAGGTTGTTGGGAACATTAAAAATCCTCAGTTTACCACAGAACAGGTAAACTTATCTACACACTAGTCTGCTTTCACAGTTGTTGGAAACTTTTTCTTCTAAAGTTTTGGACAGAAGCGAAGACTTGGTTGTATCTTTTTAAGCAGGATTTCTTTATTTCTCTTGCATCACTGTAGTCTGCTTCATCCAGAAATCTTAGCCAAGTTAAATCAAGTCAAGTCTAACTAAACTAAAATACAGACTGTTCTTATACATTTCAAGGGGGAGGAATTACATAGAGGAGGGGACTCTTGAAACAAAGCGAATGTCCCAGCCCTGATCTCATCACCATATGTAGCATTAGCAGCTACTCAGAACCTTGAGATGCTAATCCAATCAGCCTGACTAGATTGCTCAAACCTTTACATGATCATTGAGACAAAGGGTGGGAGTCTCAGTAATCTGACTCATTTAACGAACAATAGAGAGACCAAGGCAGACAGGAACAGGCAGGTTTGCAACAATTTACCTTAAATTCACACTAATAAACTTCCTCCGTTTATATAAGGACCCTGCCTGCACTCTCAGAAAAAAAGGTACAAAAGCTGTCACTGGGGCTGTACCTTTTCAAAAGGTAAACTTTTGTCCATTTTATGTACATTTTATGTGATATTATGTACATTTTAGGTGCTAATATGTACATTTTAAGTGTTAATATGTACATTTTAGGTGTTAATATGTACATTTCATGAGCTAATATGTCCATTTTAGGTGTTAATATGTACATTTTAGGTGCTAATATGTCAATTTCATGAGCTAACATGTCCATTTTAGGTGGTAATATGTACATTTTAGGTGGTAATATGTCAATTTTAGGTGTTAATATGTCCATTTCATGAGCTAATATGTACATTTTAGGTGTTAATATGTACCACTAAGGTACCAATATGCAGCCTTTGGATACAAAAGTGATAGCTTTTGTACCTTTTTTTCTGAGAGTGTAAGAAATCAATCAAGGATTCAATCAAACTAATCAGTTTGGTTACAATCAATACTGGTTGTTGTCGGGAAATAACACACGGCTGTATGGAACGATTGACCAATCAGAATCAAGTATTGCACAGAGCCATGTAATAACAAACATTATTAAAATGTACTGCTTACCGTTAGTTAATGTTTTAACCGTTAGTTAATGTAACTAATAGAACGTGTCTAAAAGTGTCGCCAATTTTTGTCATTGACCCAATGGCCTAGGTGATGGAAAGTAGCAGAGCAAGTTATTACATTTTGATGCAATATTACAAAGAAATATATTTTTTTCTTTAGAACAACATGCACAGATGAAGCAGCGTTCTCAATAATATCAGGAATGAGTGTTAAAGTAAATTCAGCTTGTTGACTTTAATTGAATGTACAACCTATAACCGAGTCAAGAGTCCAACCGTTCCCGCCGGATCGGCTTCAATTTGTTTAAAATTAAAGCTCTGAGTTTAAACCTCATGGGTGTGAAACACCAAATTGGAATGGCGTTATTACAAACATATGCTGTTGAAGAGCTTCAAATGGCTTGAAAGTCACAGCTGTTCCTGTGGCTTTAACATTGACACGCCATCCATAAAAAGGGTGAATATTAAATCCATCTTGACAGTGCGTAAAGGCTTCATAATACCTCAGCGCCTCGTTCAGGCTAATGAAGTAAACAAACCAGATAATGTGTCTGCTCACCTTCAGCTTGGAGTTATGAGTGACAGCAGGTGTTTCGTCCTCTTTTGGGGGCATGTGCAGCTCCCATTTCCCAAACTCCTTTTTAGTGTAGGGATGCGAAAAATTATTCCAGTCATCTATTAAAAAGAAAGTTACAGTTAAAAACTTCAACATGTTCGATATGTCATCTAAACTAGATTTTATGATGAAAAGGTGAGTTGTTCTGTGCAAAACTTGCAAAAACAGTGTGATGCGTTTGGTAAGATGTTTTTTTTTTTTAAGATGTGGTAAGTGGTTTTTAGTGTGTCGCTCTAAAATTGACCAAAAAAAGTTTGACATTCCGGTTAATTCTAACTTCAGTGACTAGCCTAATTTGACACCATTTACAAAATGGTGGCAACTAAGCGAGGGTCAAATTGGTTGTTGTTGTTGCAAACATGTCTGATAGCTAAAGTAAAATTTAATGAATTTAACAATCTAGATTCTAGATAATTTTGTCAACTGCTGTTAATTTTATCATCTGCCTGGTAAAAAGCATAGGTTTAAACGCTTATAAAAATCCAATTTATTTATACAGAAATTATGAGGTGGATAAATATAATTGGTTTAACATTGTATTATGTTAAATTTTACTGTAAAACACTGTAAAATATATGGTTTCTGGAAGTAAAAATGACAAATTACAATATAATTAACAATGAAAAAAAGATCACACGATTATATTTTATACATGCTTTGTTTCTTTTTTTACCAATCATTAATGTATACTGTCCATTTTGTGTTACATTTTCAGATATGAAATTTTTTTTATTGAATTACTTTAGTTTCATGCATTTAGTGCCCTGATAGAGTTTCGTCTTAGTGTGTATAACCCTGTGCATCATACTGTATGGGAATTATGATTTATGGAAAGGCCACCTACGATGAACTGATTTATCATGTGGCTTTCTATTTTACAACATGCATAATAATTCTGGTTATTACATTTTACGGTAACAAGCAGATTTTGGTTTAGTACATAATATTATATCACTTTATAGGATGGTAGCAACAGGTACCAATATGCCATACTGTAATACCTGAAACAATATGATATGATACCACTTTATTAATCCCAAAAAGGGGAATGTCACTGTATTTTAGGGTGTGTTCAGGTTTGGTTCGATTAAAACGAACCTTGATGTTATTGCTGTGGTGATGCGGTTCATTTGAATAAAATTAATTTTTCTGCCTATTTTCCGGCAACCATTTTACAGTGAAATAGCACAAAAAAAAAAAAAACATGATCGAGTAATAATTCATGTCTGTTGCACAAGTTGCATGCCAAAAAAAAAAAGATATGGTTATTTAAGGGGCTCTTTCAAACCTTAACCCTAGTATGAACAATAGTAATAGTGATACATATCTATTTGTTGTCTAATTTATCGGATATTCTCATAACAATATATATAACAATCATTTGTTTATTCACAAAAGCAATGCAAGTTCTGCCATATGATCAAAGACTACATAATTTGGCCTGCAGTCTGTAAAGTCTGGCTCATTACTTCTTTAAGAAAAACTTGCACTTCCTAATGACTAGAAAAGACAAGCAAATGCCTTAAAATCCTGCATTCTTGCACTTTCTTGGTGAGAAATCATTATGCCAGACTTCTGACAACAAAAGATTTCAAAAGAAAGACCCTTAGTGACTGACTGCATTTGGTCTTGTAGGCAATTCAGATAACCTTGAAGGGATTTTTCGTTTTGTCTTAACCTGAACACAATGTTCTTTCATCTAGTTTAAGATGAAAAAAATGATCTGTCAGACAGAACAAACAGTCAACTACAAATTGACACAAGGTATAGATGAATAGGCAGACTAACTCTTGTATGATTTATGAATTCTGCAGTGGAACAAAATATCAGTACGATAACAAAACTTTCTGGATTATGAATTGTGACAATGCTGAAAAGTTTTTGCCAAAAGCTTATAAACCACTCCAATATTTGCACGGCAACACAAAACCTGAAAATAAATGAAATATTTGACCTTATTTACATAAAACTGTGTTGCATTTTGAGCATAGTTAAAATATATTTAAGTATCGTTATAGTTAATATAATTAAATGAATATTTTACCTTATTTATATACTATATAAAACTAAGCACTGTAACATTTAGCCTTTAAAACAATCATTATTTATATGCGGTCATATCATACACTTGTATATTATGTTTTAAATGGACTAAATATACAAAATCAGAAAATGTATTAAATATTTGACCTTATTTACATAAAACTGTGTTGCATTTTGAGCATAGTTAAAATACATTTAAGTATCGTTATAGTTAATATAACTAAATTAATATTTTACCTTATTTACACACTATATAAAACTGAGCACTGTAACATTTTAGCCTTTAAAATAATCATTATTTATATGCAGTCATATCATACACTTGTATATTATGTTTTAAATGGACTAAATATACAAAATCAGAAAATAAATTAAATATTTGACCTTATTTACATAAAACTGTGTTGCATTTCAAGCATAGTTAAAATAGTTAATATAATTAAATTAATATTTTACCTTCTTTACATATATAAAACTGAGCATTTTAGCCTTTAAAATAATAATTTTTATATGCAGTCATATCATACACTTGTATATTATGTTTTAAATGGACTAAATATACAAAACCTGAAAATAAATTAAATATGTGACCTTATTTACATAAAACTGTGTTGCATTTCAAGCATAATTAAAATAGATTTAACTACTTAAAATACATTTAAGTATAGTTAATATAATTAAATGAATATTTTACCCTATTTACATACTAAAACTGAGCACTGCAATTTCAGCGTATAATAACATATTAAATATTTTAGCATTATTTATATGCAGAATCATATCATACGCTTGTGAATTAAATGAACTAAATATACAAAATCAGAAAAATAAATAAAATATTTGACCTTATTTACAAAACCATGTTGTAATTTAAGCCAGTATGGTATAGCTTAATATTGTAAGCAATTAAAATAATCAGTATTGATGTGCAGAGTCATAAACACGTGATTTTAGAATGAGAAAAGACGTACTGAAGTCTCCAGTGAGGAAAAGAGCCTCGGCGGCTGGGGCCCACTCCTTAAAGAAGAGGCTGTTGTCTGGCATCCGCTGTACTCCGTAACTGCTATAGCTGCTTGTGAACTGATCAAAGCCACCTTCAGCCTCCTCAAGGAGTGCGAGCTGCTTCTCAAACAGCCCATACCTTCCAAAACAAAGCAGGAACACTTCTTAACAAACACTGACAGAAAAATACAGAGTCAATCTGCTTTACGTATCTCACACAAGTTCAACAACACCAAATAATATATACATCATACCATAAAGATGCTAGGGGCGAAATACAAAACAAGCTAACCCTAATACACAAGAAAACCAACTAAAAGAAATGTGAAAGGCCGTTAACCAGATTATTTTGCTTTCAAGAGCTTAAACTGAATTATTTAAAAAGTTAATACTATTTGATACTATTTTATACGCCTCCTATTGAACATCCCCTTTGCAGAAGAACCGCATTTACCCTCAGGATCGCCTTTGAAATCTCAAAGTTGAAAACAGTCGCCCACTCATGCATATTGATGGAGAATGCCATTGACCTGGCATCTTTGACACACTACATTACATCACCCGGAGACACTAAACACCTAGGCACGCATCCTGTTCTTTGACTTCACTTCTGTTTTCCACCTTCTTAAACAGAAATACGGGCATCGTGCCAGCCGAAAGCTGCTGCCTGTTCAATTTTTTACAAGGCAGATGAAGTTCACCTCCCACCTTCTGGCCATCAACAAAGGTGTACCACAAGGCTCTGTACTCCCCCCACCTCACTTTTTCTTGTTCACAAATATGCTAGCTTATCAATTTATTATATTAACAAATCATACTCTTCGTTTTCTCACACAAACCGCTCGTTTCTTGTCTTATGCCAACAGTGTGTTACATTTACGAGTCATTAAATCATGTTTAACTTGGATTTCTCTGTGCATGCTCTTTGAGGTGGTGACCATAGACCTGCATTATATGACTGACAGACAAGAACAGTTTGACCTAAAAATATAGAAATTGAAAATACTGTGGAAACAAAGACACCTACATCTTGGATGCCCTTGAGGTAAGCCAAAACATATCAAAAATTAATTTCAAAGTGAACTATCCCTTTAAATCATGTCACAATGCAGCAAAAATACAGGCTTATTTATTTTACTTTTAATTTTGTGGTGAAAAGTATTTGTAAGATTTAACTACTCAATCTATATTTTGTATTTAAGCTAAACTAAAACCATTATATTAAAAGGACACCTCATTAGTATGTGAAAACAGATGCCCATTCAACAGAGCAAAGGCAAAAGTCTGCCTTACTAATCATCATTTAAGGTATTTCAGAGCTTAAAAGAAACACGCTCGTGAGTTTTTACTCAAGTTTATTTCCGAACAACCTATATTTCTGTTCCACAGCTCTACATTAAAAGTGACTTAAACATCTGCTTTTGAAATGTAGAAGCTCTCAACACATTGGCAAATTGACACACCTTATGGCAAATTCTCATTTGTCAAAACAATCAATAGCATTTAAGATCCCCTTTGCCACCTGCTGCTTATAAGATTCGCTGGTTGGATGAAGTCGCTACAAGATTTAAATGCAGAATCTAAACAGCAAAGCTCTCAGCGGTCTGTCTAATGCCTACGGCACTCACACACAGGATGATTTTCTGCGATAAAACAACTGGAAGTCATTCGTTTTCAATGAGAGTTGCTGATTTTACAGCATGAGAAACATTTATGCAAGAAACGTTCTGCAAATGAGCGCCAACTTTTTGATAAATATGTATTTCTTTATATACATTTAATATATTAAAACTATTTTTGAAGAAAAAAAAAATAGGAATATGCCTATTTTTACATCCTTTATGGGCTGAATGATTTAGGAAATGCTTTACTGTAACAAAAATTATTTTACAAAAATATTATTTTCTACTTCAAAATTTTCATTCAGGTACTTTCTGTTTGTAAACATTTCAAAAGTCTACAAGCAATTTCAGAGCGAAAGTTGTAAGCCCTGAACCAAATTTTTTGAAAAAGTGTTTTTTTTTTTTTGTATTTCTCTACTTGCTCTTGTATGATGCCCGAGGATGAAGAGGGCAAGCTGTTCCAGTCTGCATAGCCAAAATCTGTCAACATCTTGCAAACTTTAAACCTGATGAGCGGACATGCCTGGCATGGTCTGACAGAACCCTTTGGGCTTGTTCATTTAGGTTTCAAACACCTTCAAAACAAATGTCCGATGACCGTTTTTGATGTCAAAGTTGGCCCGTGGTATCCTTTGATTTGGCCCGCCATACCGTCCTGGGAGAGGGGCGAGAGGGGGTGATACCTTCGACACAGATCGTAATTTCTAATTTGACATAACAGTTCTGTTTGATTTATTGTTGAACTACAACAGAGTAAAGTGATATTAAATGTTTAAATGTAAAATAATTCGAGTTTTTTTTTTTCTGTCAATGCGCAATTCAAGGTGCAGCACAAATTAAATGCAGTAATGGCAAAATCAAAGCATTTCTGAAAAATAAGAACCAGCTTCATGTCTCTCATTGGGTCACCGACAACCACATGGTTTTATTATTGCTTTGGCATTGAACTGTATTTTACATTGACCACTTGATTGTTGCTTTTATTGTAATACGTTCTTTAAAATGCAAAACTTCACAAATAAAACTGCATTAGTTAATCAGATTGAAGTTGCTTTATATTCATTTTAAATATTATAAAATAAATAAACCCATTGCAACTTTAATGTAATACCATTTGATTTATGATGCAAAATTTACTTTTGGCCCACGACCCACAATCAACTTTGATTTTTGGCCCTTCATAGGAAAAAGTTTGGGCACCCCTGGTCTAAATGGACCACAGGTTCACTTGTAGTATATTTTTCCCTTAGGAATGTGGTAAACGATGTATTCATTGGCTCTTGCTTGAGGCTGGTTGTTTGGGAAGAGGTGTAAAAATGTGAAAAATGTATATATTATTGCCAATGGACAGGCAGTTTTACTTTTCACATGCATTGTTAGAGTGCAACTGACTAAATAAATACAATTAAAAATAACACAAAACTATTATAGTCCTTTACAAAAAAAAAAAACATTGACCAAAAAATGATTTATTATGAGAAGATTATTTCTCACAGCAGTCTAATGGTATGTCTCTAAATGTATTGTGTGAGTTAAGTTTCTGGATTCACATAAAGCATATAAAACAAAGCTTCTGTAGTAGTGAGGCTAAAAAAAAGGACAAATTCAGAGACACATCAGACCAAGAGAGTGCTTCACTGTGCTGTCAGTCTAACTGTTACTAAGTACACTAAAGCGGAGCACGCTGTCGGCATGCTAAAAGCCACTCTGAAAACTCTCTCAAATGTCTCCTCTGTAGATCACAGCCACTGGAAATCACACAATGAACAAATGTATAACAAAATGAATCCCAAACTAACTAAATACAACTAACTAAATGTTGTAGGAGAAAATAGCACATGTCAACTCTTCAGAAACACTGATGATGAATTTGTCATTTGACAAACATACCTACAGTAATCCATTAGGCATCACTTATTAATCCAGATTAATGTTAATTCAAAAATCTACTATTGATCATTGTACATGATCAAAAGTTTGCAGTCAGTACTATTTTGGAATTAATACTTGTATGCAACAAGGACACATTTACAATTTACATTTACAATTTTATTTTTATTAAAGATTTATTTCAAATAGATGCTTGGGGTTTTTTTTCTATTTAATAAAAATGTATGACTGTTTAAACATCAATATTAGGCAAAATATATTAAAAAAGAAAATTATTCACAATATTACTGTATTTTTGATCAAATAAAAGACTTATTTAAAAAAAAAAATATGTATGAACAAAATAAGTGTGTGTCAATCTATAATTAACATTAATAACCCAGATAAATAAATGTTGTGATTGTTCATCATTAATTCATACCACCTCCCAGATTCACTTAAGTTAACAAAGTAAGCCTTCATCTAAAGCTGTACCGTCAAACTTGGCTGTTCATCAATGAATTCATTGTCATATGAGATCATAGCGAAGCCGTTTAATCTTTGGCATTTGGTTTTAAAGTTAAGCCTTTTCAAAGTTTCTCACATGGACCACTTTAACATGCAAAGAAATATTATGATATGAATACAAATGTGCTCATATTCGGTCGGTCAGTGTCAAACTCATAATTTTGGAGTGGAGACTGACATTTTTTCTTTTTAAGCATTAAAAGAAATTACCATAAATCAATGCACAGATGGACAGCACTGTAACAGTGTCACATTTAAAAAGGTTACTGGCTTACTAATCCATCCTTCATCCTTGTCTGCTATCATTATGAATGAGAATGGATGATTTGATACTAAAATTCAGCATAATCCGGCCACTTAATTTGGTATACACGTTTAACTGCTCGTTCATGCGAATAATCAGCCAATCACATAGCAGCAAATCAATGCATTTAGGCATGTAGGCATGGTCAAGACTAGGAATGTCACGGTACCAAAATTCCAGTAGTCGGTACCGATACCGTTAAAATCTTTCGCTTCTCGGTACAAATTTCGGTACCATAGCAAAATCAAACTATTTTTCCAATTTAACTATTTGAAGAAAATATTATCAATTCAATGACTTTATTATTTATGACGGTAAATTTATAAAAGCATTGAAGGCTACAAGCGGCTTAAACGAAAATATTGATGATATTGAGAAATATTGCTTAAAAAAAAAATCAAGTGAAAAATAAGCAACCGAAGTTCTCACACATTATTATTATTATTAGTAGAAGTAGTATTTTTAATGAATGGAGACGTAGTTAAATCTATTGTACAATAGCCTAATATTATTATTTCTGTCAATACATTATTATTATTATTAGTAGTAGTAGTATTTTTAATGAATGGAGACGTAGTTAAATCTATTGTACAATAGCCTAATATAATTATTTCTGTCAATTTCTTTTGTTAAACCAAACTTTTATTTTGACGGGTTGCCGGGAAGATCTTTGAGTTTATGTGTGTGTATTATTATATGACGATAGTTTTTCTCAAACAAAATGGTAAAATGCTCATGAAGTGACTCTCGGAGATGAATGGAATCATGAATCTTATCATATCGTGAGGCAGCTGAGACTGAAAACAGCGTGAGCGT